CTTGCTCACCAATGCGTATTTGAATTTGCTGGCACGCAGCCATTTCGACTCTTAATGAGTGATCTGTCCTTTCCCATTTAATATATGAAGGAAGCGCCAGTAAGTAGAAAAACTGCCAAAAGGCAAGCACTCAGGGAGAAACAAGGCAGATAACTGAATGTTTGTCCTAATTTGCTTATCTCTATAAAGCCACAGCGACAGCCGAGTCCAACCAGGGCTTCACGGAAGGGCCCGCCGGTGGTGGCTTCGCCTCCAGAAGTCCAGGAGCGCCCTCTAAGGGCCGCAGAGCGCAAGCGCTGCCCCGGCCGGGCCGAGGGAGGAAGACGCAGGTTTTTCCTAGGCAAGGATGACTTAGGAGGGAGGAAAACAGGGTGCTCACGAATGTGAATAACCAATACCTTCCTGATTCCAAATGTTCTAACATGCATCTACAAAAATTGGTAAAAGAGACGGATGAAACAGCATCCACCACTGTCCCCCAGCGACCCAGCTCTCCTACCCAAAGGCACCAAAGTTTGCAGTTTCATGGGTACTCTAACAGAAACATCCTGCGCACTTACAAGTAAATACATACACATACATATTCCTTTCTCTCCTTTACTTTTATACCTTTAAATACCTCTATTTTTAAACCGAAATAAAAGCTTCTGGTAACAGTTTAATTATAACTCAAAAATCCCTAAGTTCCAAGGGGGACAAAAGAGGCCAAAAGAGGGCTGCTTCTTAATCAGCCAAGGGTGATGGAGCCTCTCCCGAAATGTTGCTTCCAGGCTCCCTGCCTCACCCTCATCCCTTGATGTAGGCAGAATAATGGTCCCCCAAAGATGTCTTTGTCCTAATCCCCAGAACCAGGGATGAGGGCACCTCTAGAAGGTGGAAAGGGCAAGGAAATAGATTATCCCTTAAAGTTTCAATGCAGGCCTTGATTTTAGCCCAGAGGGGCACATTTCAGACTTCTGATCTCTAGAACTATAATAAAGATCATAAATTTGTATTGTTTCAAGTCATTCAGTGTGTGGCAATTTGTTACAGCAATAGGAAACGAATACGCTCCCCTTCCCCTCCTGTTTTCAGGGAATGGGCCTTTAGAACTTAAATATGACGTGAATGGTCTTGGTAGGGCATCTTGATCATGCTCTGGAACTGTCTGGTGATAACTTTCCAGGGATGTGAATTGTCACTCTGCAATCCTATTACAACCTCTGATTCCACAGGAATAAATTTCATGATCAACTGATGAACAAAACAGCTCTACCATCTGCCATTGGCGGGCTCCAATGCACAAGATAAAAGGAGAGAGGGTCTCTCCACGTTCTCTCAAAGAGGGCTGAAGTAAAAGGGAAACCTCATAAAGCCACATGCAGGTTGAGCCACAGGCAAGCTTCTAAAGGCTTCCGGAGATGGAAGGCGCCTCCTTCAATTGGTCTATTCCGGAGCGGAGACTAGCCCAAGGCCCCCAGGGGTGCAGGACAGCACTGCCACTCATGCCCAGGCATCCTGATTTTCAACCTACTTCCCTCCGTATATACCAGTGTGTCTCAGATGTTTTGGTGTCTGAATTATCTTCTATTCTTGAATTTATGAGGATGCCAAGGAGGTTATGTTTCTGTGAGTTTTATCTATCCTCATTGACTTTACTGGGAATTAAAACTAACAAAAGTCTAAAATATGTACTTACTTGTTTTGAAATAACAATAATAAACCATTACATGTTGACATACAAATATATTTATATGAAAAGTAACTGTTTTCCAAAACAAAGAGAAATGAGTGAGAAGAGCAGTTTTGTTTCTACATTTTGGCAAATCTTTTTAATAGAGTATCTCTGATCTGCTTATGCATTCAATCTATTGCAATATGTTGTTTCGATTGGAGAAAATCCAGCCTCACACAGATGTATAGCCGGACAACTATTTCAATAGCCTTTTTGGATACTTTTGAAAAATCTTTGATATTACACCAAAACTCATCAAGTAGCCATTTCTTAGAATCTGAAATCAGATGAAGAATTTTTCATATTTTGTTACATTAAAAATCCATTGAGCTATCATGCACTTGGAACAGATCTTTTACCCATGCAAGATTGTTGTAAGGCTATACACTGGTCATTTGGATCTGTTGGTTTATTTGGTTATGCAGATCATCCAAATGTTCACACATTTTATAATATGACATTTATAAATCACATTCATTTATATCACCACTGATCTCACTAGAAAAAAATTTAAATATTGGGAAACTTTTAAGCTTATAGTGGTGGAAACAACTTGGCAAAATTCTAATTTTCACTTGAAAGCTGAAATGTTATCACTGGCAAGCAATAATAGCAGTTCTTTTACTAGAAGTAGCAGGTTCCCTTTGTTCATTTTTGAGAAAACATCTGCCAAATACCCAAGTCAGAATAACTCTAGTTGGTCTGTTGTCATTCTTTGTGGTAAATACCACACTCCATTAAAAAAAATCAGCTAACTTAATGCACAACTCAAACAGTGCTTTCCCTTGGGGTTGCCACTGAACTTGGTCATCAGCAGTAGTACCTCATGTGTCCTTCCCATTTATTTACACTATTAAAAAGACAGATAGTCAAAGATACAGGGATTTGGTAAAATTAATAATTTTACTGTGGCAACAAGAACATTCTTAATGAAACTGGCAAATATTTTTTAATTGCAAAGGCCTCACAAAATTCAATGACTACTAGCGCATGGGGATGTCCTTGCCTTGATTCTCAGTAAGGTACCCACAGTTTACCCATCAAGCTTTGCACCCTCAGTGCACATGTCAACTGTGGAAAAGAAAAATAGCATCTCAGTAATCTTAGTATTACTTTGAAAATAGTTTCAACACGGAGAATTCCCTAAAAGCTTCTTTAAAGAAGAAAATAAAAATCATTCCTAACCACCCTAAGATATCAACTGTAAATATGTGCATGCGTGAGTACATTCACATGTGTTTAGAAAAATGTATCATACCAGACTGGCAAGGCCATGATAATTTTAATGTTTGCATAGTATCCTGTTGTAGGGATGGATGTGTGTGGAGTAGGGGGCACTGCTTGCTTATTTTGTTTTAAGTTTAATTGACCCTACACTGAAGGGCTTATTCAGATCTTCATTGTGTCCTGCTTTAAGCAAAGTCCCTCTGGAGCCGTCACTATTATGTGGCCCTGGGTAATTTCCTTACAGAGATTCTGGCCCCAAAAGGGTAGTGAGGGTGAGGGCTTGACACAAGCAGCTTGCTTGGTCCATGCATTAGTTCAACCAGAGAGAGGGAGCAGTCTGTCCATGGCGTTGCGTCAAAGGGAGCCCATGAAAGAAATTATGTACCCCATAATTTCATCCACAGCGTGGGGAGCTATCTACAGGTTGCTACGTCTGTTTCTATCCTTCTATTACTTAATTTAAATTCAGTAGATTTCATTCTGAAATGTGCTTGTCCTCCTTTGTCCACTTCTAGTCTGCTCATCATTTTACTGTAGATCCCACGTCAACACAGTAGAGAGAAGGGCTGGGAAGCTGTCCAGCCCCAGCATTCCTCAGCACAGTGATTCACAGAGCAGAAGGCGAAAGAAGCAAGAGTGCAGATCGCGGTGGGATTCCAGGAGCTCTCACAAACAACCCTGCTCGGACCCACTCACATGCAACCCACGGGCAGGTGGCAGAGGAATCGGGAAGGCAGAAGGCTGGAATCGCCACAAAGCCAGGGCAGCACTGGTTTCAGTTTCAGACCATTTTCACAAACAAAAACTCTTTCAGCACTCGGAAAATTTTCACTTAGAAAAACAAAAGCCAGGAGTTGTAGGTGGGGAAGTTGGAAGACTTTATTTAGTTTTATTCCTCTCAAGCACTGTGCAAAATATTCAGTGAATACTCTCCTAGAGATCACTAATGGGAAGAAAAAGACCCTACCACAGGCACTGCCTTTTATGAAAAAGTGGCATTGGCATCAGAATACCTGGCATAAACCTGCACCAAGCACTGGGATGATGTATCTACCAAACAGTCACAAAGCAATGTGACCCCCAACTTTTCTTCCTTGACCCCTGAAGTAAGAGAACAGTATATATGCTGGTACCCTTGTTGGAATAGTATCTGACAATCATTGTCTGCTTCTTGGATTTCTACAAACCAATGACCGAAAAGCCACAGTTTCAAGAGTAAAAATGCCTGCACGGGAGGTGGGAACAACGGCCGCCAAAGGCTTCGGAATGAAAACCCCACCACAAACTTGTCTCTCTCTGCAGGAAACTTGCAAGAAATCTGACAAGAGCTCGCAAGCATTTTCCGAAAAGCATTGCTCCCAAAGCAAGCATCTATCCTGGCTGCAGCCTCAGCCATCCGGGTAGGGCGAGCTTCTCTGGAATCAACTTTCTCATTTCCCTCTCCCTCCTCTCAAGACAAACATTTTCTCCCAGCTTGAACGATCCCCGTGGGTGCGCGGGCCTCCTGCCGCCTGGAGCCGGGCTGGCACTGGAGCGCGGCTCCTCCAGAGCGCAGAGGCACCCGACGGCCTGCGGCAGCCCTCAGCCTTTCCCCATGACCTTCTAGAACAGCCCCGCTCTGCCTCCCTCCGGTCTCCCGAGTGCGCCCGTCATCCTGCCTCGGGAGAGGTGAACGCGAGGAAAGAAGGATGACCACCTACGCTCCCGGGAACTTCTGGGCACAGAAAGGCATTACCCCAGCCCGCATGCCGAAAGTCGCCTTTTCCTTTCCTTTTTTCCCCCTGTGCCTGAATCTCCTGGGACACTTAGACGGCTGGAGCCTCCCGACCCCAGGGCGGGCGACGGCAAAGTTAAACGCCAGCGCGCTGCAGTCCCCGGGCGCCGAGGCGTCCCCGCTCCCGCCTCCCACACAGGGCGCCAAGTGCCCCGACCCGCAAGTGACGAGGAGGCACAGGCTAGTGACAGGACCCGTAGCCAGTACTGAGCTGGACAACGAGGCCTGAGCGCAGGAGGGTGCGCGGGGAGCGGAGAAGCGCCGGGGGCCGGGGCGCGGCCGTACCTGGGGCCCCCGCCGAGGAGGCGACGGGGAGCAGCGCGGCCAGGAGCAGCAGCGCAGCCCAGGGCAGCCGGCGCGGCGCGCGCAGGGTCGCCCTGGCCTCGGGGGCCATCGGGAGCCCGGGGTGAGCCGGGGCTGGGTGCTCTCGGCTGACCGAGGGGCGCTGGCCGGAGTTTGGGGAGTGCGGAGGCGCCGCCGTCGGGTCCCCGCTGCCGTCCGTCTGTTCTGCGCGCTCTGCGCGGTGCCCACCGCGCCCCTGCCCTGCGGCGATCGCTCCCGGCCGCGCACCGGCAGCCGCGCTCCGCCACTGAGGCCGCCGACCTCCCGCCGAGCCTTTTAGCCTTGCTTGGGCGCCCCCTGCCGGCATGCGGGGTCGGGGCCGGGGCCGGAGGGGCCGGCGGGGCCGGCGGGGGCGACGGGGGCGGTGGGACCCCGGCCGGAGGCGGGCGGGGCGCGGGCCGTAGGGGCCGGAGCGCCCCGGACTGACTTAGCGGTTCTGAACTTGTGGCGGTCGCTGTGCCGGGCCAAGTGGCTGAGGAAGTTCCTCCCCTCGTGTAATTCTCTTGTTTTCTGGCTGGGGAAGTCTCCCATCGGGCAGAGGAATACCCTTTGTCCCCTTACATAAACACCTCTGCGCCCCACGGGGGGACTCGGGCCAGGACACCTCACCCCATCCGTCCGCAGCACTGTAGTTCCTGTGGCTAGCCTGGTCCTTCCACGTCCCTCCCTGCACCCAGCGCGCCCAAGTCTGGGGTTTTCAGTGTCCTTAGACCTTGCTGCGTCTGGCTGTCATTTCTAGGGCATGCACGATGCCAGTTTTCAGTGTGTCTTGGTGCCCAGGCCAAGGACTCAGCGGACCCCGCCTCTCTCGCTTCTGTAATTTTAACGCTGCCCCAGGTCTCCCTATTCCTCCTTCCAGCCTGGAAGCCTCGCGGCCCTCCAGACGGACTCGGAGCGCCCCTGGAGGCTACAGTGACTGGAGCTCTAGGAAGGCCGGGTCCTGGCTGCCACGTGCTGCTGTCCACGGACCGGTGTCCTCGAAGAGCTGACCTGGCTAAACTCATCCCAGCGCTGTCAGTTCTCCCTCGTGACAACCCAAAACTTGACCAGATTTGTGTTCTGCAGAGAGGAAAAAACAAACCAAAAAAAAGCTAAATGAATTGTAAATAGATGAAAACTAGAAATACAGTATCTCTTTGAATTTAAGCACCCAGGAAAGGCGTAAACCTACCGCTTTCCCTTCCAGAAAACTCTCCTGCTTCCCAGCAAAGGTTTTGTTTGTTTTTTGGGTTTTTTTGTTTTTGTTTTTGAGACAGGGTCTCCCTCTGCCTCTGCCGCCCAGGCTGGAGTGCAGTGGTGCGATCTTGGCTCACTGCAACCTCCATATCCCAGGCTCAAGCGATTCTCCTGCCTCAGCCTCCTAAGTGGCTGGAACTATAGGCTCCAGCCAACATGTCCAGCTCATTTTTGTATTTTTTGTAGAGACAGGGTTTCCCCATGTTGCCCAGGCTGGTCTCGAACTCCTGAGCTCAAGCAATCCGCCCACCTTGACTTCCCAAAGTGCTGGGATTACAGGCATGAGCCACCACGCCCAGCCTAAACACACATTTTCCTGCATTACTCCCTTATATTGTCATGTTTCCCCACATACCATTTAATGGAGCTGTGTGGTTTCTGTCTCACCAGCAGCCACCCGGCTCTTCCTATTTTGGGAGAATGGTAGCTCCCTCCCCAACTCCAACCAAATGACAGGACCCCTCCTTACCCCCACTCCTTCCCAAAGCCCCACTTCCCCACTGGCTCAGGGCTCTGCAGTGGCCTAGACAGGGTCACTCAGAGTTGGGACTCTTCTAACGGGGGCTGGTGGAAAGGTCTTTTTCTCCCATCATTCATGGATTTGGAAGGATGGTAGCCATGGCAGGCTGAAACAGCCCTCCTCCCCCAAAAGACCTGTGAATGTCACCTTACATGGTTTATTAAAAAGTGATTAAGCATGTTGAGATGGACAGATTATCATGGATTATCTGGGTGGATCCTAATGCAGTCACATATGTAACTTATAAAACAGAGGAGAGGGAGATTGACACACACAAGAGAAATCCAGGTGAGGATGGAGGCAGACATGGGAGCGAGGCACCCACAGCCCAGGGATGCTGGCGGCCACCAGAGGCTGGAAGAGCCTCCCCCAGAGCCTGTGCTGCACTTCAGGCCAGTGGAACTGATTTCAGACTTCTGGTCTCCAAGACTGTGAGACAGCAAATTTCTGTTGTTTAAGCCACCCATCCCATTTGTAATTATTTGTTATAGCGGCCACAGGACGCCAATGCAGTAGCCAGGATGGGCCCCTGGCTCTGGCTCCAGCCTGCAGGGACACCAGCCAGAGAGAAGGAAGCCATGTCCGGAGAGAAGACAAGCGGGTAGAAAAGTGCCGGGCAGGTGTGAGAGTCCCGGGCTCCAGCCTCACCCCTGCGCTTTCTGAATGCTGGTTCTGGGGACAGCATATTCCATTTCGCTAACTTAGAATGAGATTTCTATTTTCTATAACCAATGAGTCTTGGCTAGTGCATTCCCCCCTGTTCTTAACAGAACAAGAACCAAGATTTATCTTTATTGCTCATCTGTCACCCAAAAGAGGCCATCACAGAACCAAACACAGTAACATCCAGGAAATGCTGAGGTTAACTGCCATTCATTCATTCGTTCAGCAAATACTTACTGTGATCTACTCTGTCCCCAGCACTGCTTAGACCCCGGGGATTAGCAGTGACTCAAAGCAGATGAATAGCAGGAGGTAAGTTAAAAGTGGAGAAGGCGAGGCAGCACTGAGGACCTTACAGGCTGCAGGAAGGGCTTAGGCTTTCACTCTGAGAGATGAAGGGTGACACTGGAGAATTCTGATGAGAGAAGACATGGGTAAGCGGGCTCTTACAGTCCCAATGAGGCAAGACAATGCTTGGACATGATGGACAGCAGTGGGGCATGAGAACCAACAAGGTTCTGGATGCATCTTACAGTTATGACTTGGGAGATTTTCTGACTCATTGGATATGGAGAAAAAGAGGATTTGCAATATACCAAGTCACACTATTCTCATGCTGCTCATTAACTCTCCATTGTGACCTCCGTAATTTCAGGATGTCACTCTTTAATTTCATTTTAATGAACTAATCTTGCCATAATCTGTAGACGCACACAGTGAAAGCTCATCAGATATCAGTTTTCTTCCCTGCATCCTCATGAGATGCGTATGCACTTATCTTCCTCCCCAGAATGATACTTACTAGAGCAAATTTCTTAGGGGTACATTTCAGAGTGAAGCACAATGCAAAATTACTTCCAGTTTTAGAGTTTCAGAACCCTCAACCATGGGCTGTTTGATATTAAATGAGATTACTGACACTTAAGAGTTCTGATTCTGATTTCATTACAAATTTGAGAACGTGTGTTTAATCAAAAGGTATTATTACCCTTAGGTTTAAAAGATCTTAAAGAAAATGGAACTAGGAGTCAGTCATCTGTCCTGAACGTGGTCATCTCAAAAATACGAGCTCACAGAAGTTTTCTTCTTTCTTGTCAGTTTTGAGTCCAATGTCAATACTGTTGTCCTGTGAAAGATTTTAAGATTTTAATATTTTTTCACAAAATTTCCTGATGTCCTGATTGCTGTTTCTATTTTGTTCATCAAAACCAAACAGACTGGAGGTTGCTCTGGGGCCAGATAGATGACCAGTCATTAAAATCAATGCCTTATTAGCCTGCCTTAGTTCTGTGGTTTTTTCTGACTTCACAGATCAGCTTGTGTTCATATACACTATTTCTGGTTCTAGTTATTTTTAAAATAACCATACATCCAAGGAGTTCAGCACTCCTCATACACACTGTCGTGGCATTCCTATGTGATAGGGCCAATTAAAATGCTATTCTTGTGTTTCATATGGATAAATGGGAAGCAAGTTCAAATGACCTTCCAGTACAGATTCAAGTAGAGTTTTGAAAGTGCGTGTCTCATATTATTCATCTGACATCAAATTTTGTTCAGTCTTCAATTTGGCTCATGTGGCTCTTTAATTCCTTTTTAAGCACCTCATTTGAATATATCTGCATATTGTGACTGCAGCAGGACACTACGCAATACCCATTACACAATAGTGATGTGCTTTTCAAAGGCTACACAGAAGGAGAACAAAAGAGAGTGTGCACCTATAGCACTAGATGTGATTGTGGGGAGCTCAGTAAATCAGACACAGCAGATCTGGAGGAACACATCCGTCCCCAGGATTCTATGAACAGAGGGAAAAGGGAAAAGAAAATAGAGGCAGGCAAGTAGACACTGCCATCTCAATTTCACCTTGACCTGGGAGAAGGATAATAGAAATAGCTTCTAATTGGCAATAAAATAAAATAATAAAATAATGCTTTGCTACTTTTCTTGAACAGTATTCATTTCGTTCCGATTTTCACAACAACTTTAGAAGCACTATTCTGATTTTACAGGAGAAAACCAAGGCTCCAAGAGGGTATGTGGCGTGTCCTTGGCCCTTTAACTGGTGCGCCTGGGAGTCCAATCTGAGCCTCTAACCCCAAGTGCACATCTCTGTCCACCACACACGACACTCAGAAGGTCCTCTCCCTCTCTCCCATTTTCATTAAAACTATGAGGATCAAGGGAGACAGGACAAATAAAGGTCTGTTTTGCACACCCCATGTCCCCATGTCCACTGCAGATTTATCAGAGACACTCCCTTACCATCCAGAGAGTGACCAATCCCTCTTGGCAAACAACTACATGAGACCTCAATGTTACATCACTCATGTTCTTAGGGTTTCAAAGATGCAGGCAAAACATGATGCTTCTCAAAAAACCCTGCCATGAATCCATCATTGCCCAAAACACACTTCCTCTGCACAGAAGTTCTAACATGTTTCCACTGCAAGATAGTGCCAAGGCAATTTTCCTCTGTTGTACAAATCTACTGGGAATTAGTGAAACATAAAGGATTAAGATGTCAGATACCAGCCTCACATATGCACAGTTGGCATGATTAAATAAAACATCTCACAGATTTGTGTTCTAAGGTTCTGTCCAATGGTCCAGGTCAATCCAGCCTATGTTCCACATATAGAAGAAGATATTCCAATTCTGCCAGCTACTGTTTGTCAATGGGGACAAGAGAAATCATTCATTCATCTATTGCTTTATAATATCCTTTGCTGAACACCTGTTTTTGTTCCATGCCATGTAGTAGAATCTGGGAATGCAAATGTGACTAAGACACAGACAGCCCATGCTTCGAAGAGCTCACATTCAAATGCAGCAGATAA